TGGCCCGTGACTTACTATGATGAACAGAATGTGGCAGACATGGCATTATGTGATTTTTGAAGCTTGAGAAGCCTTAAAACTTTCACTCTTGTTTACACTGGGAATACTATTTACATATGAACAAGCCTAAGCCTAAGCCTCCTGGACAGACTATGAGGTAAGAACCAAGGTACCAAAACTAGCAGCTTGCTAACCAACAGGTGTGAGTATGGCCGTCCTTGACCATCGGCCCTGTTCAGGCCACCAGAAAACTGCAGTCACATAAGCGAGCCCAAGCGAAACCAGCAGCAGAATGCCCAGGTGAACTCAGTCCAAATTACTTATCCACAAAATTATGAAGGAAAAAAAGGCTGATGTTTTAGAACACTAAGTTTAGGGTTGATTTGTTATGCAGCAGTGGATAACTGATCCACAAAAGAAATCCAGCAACGTCTAAAAAAGTTAACCCAACATGACAAAGTTACATTTATCCTAAGGATACGAGGGTGGTTTAATATGAGAAAAATCTTTAAATGTAATTTATCTCACTAACATTTTTTTTATCCTCACCGGAGGACATGCTCATTGATTCTAGAGAAAAGGGAAGGCAGGGAGAAAGAGAGGGAGAGAAACACTGATGTGAGAGAAACATAAGAGAGAGAAACATGGATTGGCTTCTTCTTGCTTGGGCTCTGACCTCGAATTGAACCCATGACTTTTGGTTTACAGGATGATGCTCCAAGGAACTGAGCCACACCAGCCAGGGCACCTCAATGACATATTAAAAGGAGAAAAAACATAACCATCCCAGTACAGGCAGAAAAGCATAAGATAAAATCCAATATTCACTCATTGTAAAATCAAAGCCTTGGCAGTTAAGAATAGAAAGAATCTTCCTTAACCTGATCAAGAGTATCTTTCAAAAATTCACAGCCAAAAATCAATTCCAATAGTGAAACATAAGACAAACTCCCTCTAAAACAAAAAAAAAAGACAAAGGATACCCATTATTATAATTTTTAAAATTGAATTTATTGAGGGTGACATTGGTTTGCAAAACCATACAAGTGTCAAGTGCACAACTCAACAAAACGTCATCTGCACCCTGCCTCGTGCGCCCAGTCATCTCAAGCAAGGTCTCTTTTCGTCCCAGTTTCCACCTACCTCTACCTACCCCCCCGCCCACGTTACTACCATTTCTGTTCAGCACTGCCTTAGAGTCCTAGACAGCATAGTAGGGCAAAAGGAAAAAAAAGAAAAAAGAAAGAAATGAAAGGAATTAATATTGGGGGGAGAAAAGAAACAAAGCTTATATAAAGATAACATAATTGTCTACTTACAAAAAACGAATGACTATAATTAATCCAATTTCATTTCAATAAACCACAACTGTGATTTACATATAAGAAAGCATTTATAATAGCAACACAAACTACAAGGTACCTAGAAATAAATTTAACAAATATTGACAAGACCTGTATGAAGAAAACTAATATTTTATTAAAAGGCATATATATATTTTTGGAAAGCCTAACTACATAAATACATTATTTCTAAGGATAGGAAGATTCAATATTAGAAGGGTGTCAATTTGTCCTAAAACAATCTTTGAATTGAATACAATCTCAATCAAAATCTAGCCCTGGCTGGTGTGGTTCAGTGGATTGTACACTGGCCTGTGAATCAAAGGGCCACTGTTTCGATTCCCCATTGGGGCATGTGCCTAGGTTGCGGGCCAGGTCCCTTGTGGGGGGCGCTTGAGAGGCAACCACACATTGATGTTTCTCTCCCTCCCTTCCCCTCTCTAAAAAATAAATAAATGAATAAATAAAATCTTTTTAAAAAAATCTAGCATGAATGTTGTTTTTTTTAGAAATTGATGAACTGATTCTAAATTTCACATAGAAATGCATAGGACCTTGAATAGCCAAGATAATCTTTTTAAAAATAATAAGTGAAGGACTTATACTACTACATTTGTAAGGCTTACATTTAAGCTACATTAATTAAGGCAATGTGATATTGGCATAAGGATAGACAAACATATCAGTGGGATAGAGAACAATGCCCAGAAAAAGACTCACACAAATATAGTCATTGATTTTCAACAAAGAAACTTTCAGCAATTCAATGGAAAAATAAGTTTTTTTTAATTGGAGCAACTAAATATTTATCGTATTTTTCAGACCATAAGACACACCTAGGTTTTAGAGGAGAAAAATAGGGGGAAAAATTGAAGCAAAAAATGTGGTAAAATATTTAATAACATAAATAACATAATATTTCACCAATGTAAATGTAAACAACTCAACAGCAGCATTAACAACCATTATTCTTCCCAAATGGGGCGGGGGAGGGGGGGTGTGTTTTATAGTCCGAAAATATGGTATATAGGAAAACCACCACAAAACCTGATTTCTAGCATATACAAGAATCTAGATAGTTCATAGATCTAAATGTGAAGGCTTCTAAAGGAAAATACTAGAGAAAAATCTTCACATTCTTGGAGTAGGCAAGATTTCTGAAACATGATCAAAATCACTAACCACAAAAAAAAATGGATAAACTGGACTTTATCTAAGTAAAAACTCATGTTCATTAAAATATGCAATTAAAATAAAAATGCAAATCAAAGCCTGGGAGGAAATATTCACAGTACACATATTTGACAAAGGACTCAAATCCAGAATATATAAAGAACTCCTACAAATCAATAAGAAAAAAATAAGCTGTTTTAAAATTTGGGTAAAAGATCTGAATAGACATTTCACAAAAGAAGATGTTCAGATGGCCTAGAAGGATAGGAAAAGGCCCTGGCTGGTGTAGCTCAGTGAACTGAGGGCGGCCTGCAAACTGAAGAGCTCGATTCCCAGTCAGGGCACATGCCTGGGTTGCAAGGCCTGTGAGAGACAACAGACTGATGTACCTCTCGTGCATCGATGTTTCTCTCTATCTCTTTCTCATTCCCTTCCTCTCTCTCTAAAAACAAATTAAAATCTTTAAAATTTTTACTTTTTAAAAGAATATTAAAAAGTATAACAAAATTTTTCAACTGGGACATGCAAATTAAAACCACAATAAGATACCTCTAAGACATCTGCAAGAATGGCTAAAATTAAAAACTTGACAAAAGAAATATAATATGCCTAAGAATAAATCTAACATATATCCACAATATCTCAATAGAAAAAAACTATAACACTAATGAAAGACATGAAATGTAAAGGTATACCATGAAAACATGAATAGAAAGAAGCAAATGTTGTAGACGTCAACTTTCCCCAAAGTAATCTTTAGATTTAATGTAACTACAATCAAAATCTCAAAGTTGCCCTGGCTGTTGTGACTCAGCGGGTTGAGCGCGGGCTGCCAACCAGAAGGTGGCCGGTTGCATTCCCAGTCAGGGCGCATGCCTGGGTTGCAGGCCAGGTCCCCAGCTGCAGGCGTGCAAGAGGCAACCAACAGATTGATGCATCTCTTGCACATCAATGTTTCTCTCCCTCTCTTTCTCCCTCCCTTCTCCTCTCTCCAAAAATAAATAAACAAAATCTTCTAAAAAATAAAAAGCAAATGAAAAACACAATAGAGAGTACTAGCAACTCTGGCAAACTGGAGAACACAGGTCCCATTTAAGAACATGTGAATTTTTAAAAGTATAAACATCATGCTAGCCAAACAAAATAAATTTTGGAGCTAGTCTTGGCTCATGGGCCCTCCATCTGCAAGCCCCAGTATGGCTTAACGAGTCTCAGACTTTTGGTCTGTAGACTTTGGTGGAGAACTTATACGCACTTGCGATTGCAGGAAGACACAAAAAACCCCAAACCTATAGACAAGGAGAAATCTAAGGGGATTGCTTAAAGACTGGACGGAGAGGGGAGGGGAATCAGAGCAGGAAGGCAGAGAGAAGCACTGGGGAAAAGGGGGAAGAGGTAAACCCATAGTGACCAGCCGGGAAGAAGTGGGCAGCAGAAGAGAAAGGCAGGAAAGAGGGAAAGCAGTACAAAGGAATGCAGGAGAGAAGAGGAAAAAGAAACTCATGTCTCATCCTTATGCCTCTGTACTTTGACAATTGTTTTTCATGTAATAATCACTTTAAAAGGTTGTTTTAATTATCCTGACTTTCAGAAAGATAAAATAAATTGTTTAGCTGGTAAATGAAGAATTAGGAGTCAGTTTGATCCTGAAATCTTGTTCTTTCTACCGTGTCCCACTGAAAGGGAGGTGAGGAAGGCACGCGGAGACGCCCGTGGAGACACGTGGGTGATGGGCAGGACGGGTCCTGCTGCTCTGCTGGGGGCTGCGACATGCGACATGTAACAGTCCCCTTCTCTCAGCCTCCTTCCCAAACCACAGTCACCCAAACAATGAGGCTGGGGCTGGTTCCCCCAGACAGCTAAAAGAAGAGCTTGAAGAGAGGAAGCCTTTTAGTCACCAAGCTCGAGACATTTTTGTGTACTCAGGAACCCTGAGCTGGCCAACCGAGGGGTATCTCTAAAGCTCTTGTGTACCCTCAGTGGCCCAAGGCTCTTGTTTTGAAACCCCTCAGTTGTGTACCCTTAAACCAGAAGGCTGGCCAATCTCTATTTCTCATTCAATAATCCTCTGATTATCTTGCTAGAGAACTATTGTCTTTCGGGGTACCAGATGCCTAGTTTCATCCCACAAACTATAAGTTCAGCTTCAAATCTGAGAAGTGGTTGTAACAACTAGGGGAACAGGGGCCTTTTAATGAGAGATGAACAGAGATCCCCACATCTACATAGAGACACAGACCCAGCAAGGAAGGAACAGGGAGTCTGAGGGAAAAGAGGCAGAGACAGGAGACCCAGCGTGGGGGCCTGAGAACGCAGACCCAGGGGGCACAGACAACAGATTCAGACGGGGTCAGCTGACCTGCAGTCGGAGTGATGCCTGGGTACAGAGACCCAGCAGCTGGCAGAACAGAAAAGGCATAGAGTGAGGGCTGGACAGGTAAGGGGAGGAGGTGGGGGGCTTCCTGGGGATTTGTCTGTCCATACCACGGCGGAAGATTGGCCACCTTCGTGCTGCAGTTCCAGAAATGGGTCCAGGTCCTCTTGGCTCTGCAGTGAGGGAGCCTCCTGGGGGCCTGCGCATCCCAGTGCCTGCAGTTTGCTCCTGAAACACACATTGCCACCACTTCCCTCTGTATCCAGTGGCCAGTGACGGGCACCACAGAGGAACACCGCCTCAGCCCAGCCCTGTTGCTTGCCCCCAGCCCAGCCCTTCCTGTTGGCACTGGTGCAGCCCAGACCCAAAGTGGCCTCCTTTGGAGCTGTGCTTGAGAGCTGGCTGCAGGTAAGGGTGGCCTCTGGTGGTCAAAAGACAGTACTGCCCCCCAGAAGAAAGCTCATGTTCCAGGTAGGCAAAGAGCAAGCTGGATTCTCATTCCTTGCCTGCTTTCTAAAGCCAGCTTTTGCCCCTATTCATCGAAATGATGTATCCAGGGATCCCTTCTCTCTCTACTCAGGGAGCATAATTAATGCCTGATAGTGAAAAGTGACACCTGGAAGACCTGTGGTACAGTTGGTACCACATAAGGGGTACCCAGAGCATCTGTCTTCAACAGGCTGTTCTTACAAGGTGCCATGAGCCAAGGCTTTTCACTACAGTTTCGGTCCAAGTCAGTTCATGGGCAAGCCACAGGGTCCTCTCCCCTCACCCACTCAGCCAGCCCTGCCCAAGAGCCAGAAGAGATCAGTCCACTCACCAGAGCTAAGGAAACTTGTGCAAGACTGTTGCCAACGCAGAGAGACAGGGTCTTTGCATCGCTAGCAGGCCCTCACAATAACCACCCACACCGAACTCTTTATGCTGACCCCTGGGCCTTCTCTTTCTGACTTCCTCTGTCTTTGGGGAAGTGGTCAGGGATTTTCCAGGAGAGGGGAAGAGAAGGGTCCTCTCTTCCCATCTGCTAAGCATACGCAGCCCTCTGAGCAAGACCACACTTCCCCCACTGAGGGGGGCACTGACATGTCCAAGACATCTTGGACAAGGACAGAAAGGTGTGCAGGTCCTCTTGGCTCTGCAGTAAGGGAGAACCCCAGGTGCATCTCAGGGCTTGCAGTTTGCTCCTGAAACACACATCGCCACCACTGCCCTCTGCCCTCTGCCCTCTGCCTCAGCCTGGAGCTAGCAAGTAGGCAGCAGTTTGGGAAAGGGGCGAGTTCAATGCCCCGATCCTGGGACCACTTTTTCCAAGAAACTCCCAGTTCTCTGGGCCTCAGTTTCCTCATCTGTAAAATGAGTAGATTGGGCCATGTGACCCCTGAATCCCTTCCAGCACTGAACCACTGTATGTTCTTAGGAACCCAAAGGAGGAGGTGGAGGCAACAAGATCCAGGTGTCCTGACACTCACCCCATCTCCATACCCCCCCACTGCCCTTGAGACCAGGTAGAAAGAAAGAGCTAGAAATATGAGGGAAAGCCACATTTTGAAAGACAGGGTCCAGCTTCCCCAAGGGCTCACCGTAGGTGTGGGTACTAAGCTTCCAGGGAAGGAACTAGGGACCCTGGTCTCTTTAAGCCCCGTCGTTACTTTCCAACCAGATCTAGGATTTAAGGGAAGTAGGGGTAGGAGGCCCCTCGGATTTACCTGCTCAGTGGATCCTGGTGCACCCTGTCTGGCCCCCAACTATGTCTTTTGAAGGGGTCGTAGCTATGGCTACGGAGATGGAAGGCTCCTGATCTTCGGAGGGGCACAGCGTGGAAGCCATCTCTCTCCTTTTTTTCCCCCTCCTCTTCTTCCTCTTCCTCCAGCTGCTCTCTGGATTCGACCACAGGCAGGCAGCAGCGAGTGTGGTCTTGGGGCACCAGGTCTCCACCTGTGATGGACACCTCTGGGGTGTCGCTGTTCATGGGGGGCACACGAAGGCCAGTCTGAGTCAAGAAGACAGAGAAGGGTGAGCAGGGTTCTAGAACTCTGGAGCCTTGGAACTAGAAAGATGTCACAGTCAGCCAGGCCTACAGCACGAGTCACCCCTCCCGTTACCAAGGCGCAGACTTGGAGACGGCTCAGGATCACACCGGGGACTTGCACGGCCAAGCCCAGCACTGGGGTTTTCTGACTCCCGGCCTAGTGCTCTTTCCCGTTCGTAACGACACCCTAAATCACTCATTCCTGTATCTTTGGTGAGCACCTGTGTGGCAGAAAACCAAGCTGAGCAAAGAGAATGAAATATTCTTGCTCTCAAGGAATGTACAATCTAGTGAGTGACACTCATGCATATGTGCACATGTGGACACAGACAAAAACACAAATCACAAATGACGACTGGGCCGGAGGGTGTCAAATGGCACGAGAAGTTTCAACGAAAGGCTTTGTGCTATCAAAGGAATGAATGTCCTCCAGCTGGAGGACTCGAGGAAGGGAACCAGAAGGAAGGTGACCGTCTTTGAGATGAGCCTGGAGGCGAGGAGTGGTTAGGATTGACCAAGTTGGAGAGAGAGGAGTCTAGGCAGATAAAACAGTAGGGAGACGAGGCTCATGAGTAAGGAAGTATTATGATTTCTTCTGAAACTGATTTCTTCTATGGGGAGTAAGAGCAGTGTTGTGACCCCTCCCAAGGAGCAGAGAGAAGGGCTCCAAAACCAAACATGTGGCAGTTCTTTCTGTCTCCCAGGTGGGCATTGTTCTCACTGCCCAGCACTTCTGCCGCCACCAGGGCTCACCTCAGTGTGTCAAAGGTAAGAGCCCTCAGGTGCTCCTAAAGTTGCAAACGATAAGCCCATTCCAGGAAGAAGTACCAAATGCCAGAGTGCAAAGGTGGTGAAGGATTACATTTACTGCAACCTCTGAACACCACACTTCCAGTCCAGTCACTCTGGGCCTTCTGCTAGAATATGTTTCCCAGGCTCCCCTTCTCCCAGGACAGCCCCACCACCCCCGCCTCCCCCTCCCCCCCACTGAGTTGTTGGGTGTGCCCAGGAGGACCAGGAAGCAGTGAGGCAGAAACTGCCTCCTCCCAGGCTTTCCATGAGGGTGTCAAGCCTCCTCTTGTTATCTGGTTACCCCACCCACCCAGGAGCCTCCAGCTTGTTGAAAAATTGTCCTTCAATCTCCTTTTGCCTCTCACTTCAATCTGTGCACTGCCCCCATGCCCACCAGGACTGCTGAGAAGGCGCTCTGCCTGTCTCCCACAGAGGGGAGGAGACAAGTGCTCAGGCCTCTGCAGTGGCATTCTGTCACTCCGATGGGTAGATTTGAGGATAAAAACAGACGGGCCTAGGAAACCCCTGTGTCCATCCATGATCACGATGTCTGGGAGTGATGAAGAGGGCACCCCTCAGCAGCCAACAGGAGGGACCCTCTCCTGGCCTGCAGACTCGGGCCTCCTGCCGGCTGCAAACAAGATGTGCGGCTCTGCAGGGAGCAGGACAGAGCCCTAGTGCCAGCCCCTGCCAACCAGTGGTTTCCAAAGCTAAGATTTGGGGAGAGTGAGGGGGTCCACCAAAAGTATTGTGAGAAGCAGGAGTGGAGGGAAGAGCAGCAACTGGCGGTGCTCACTGGGAATTGAAGCATGGGGACTGGGAACAGGTCAGATACTGAGAGGCACTGAGGGGGCTCTGGCATTTGGTGGCCTTACAAAAGAAGAAACACTGCTTGAGCTATACCTACTGTACCCAGTCTCTATCTGTTCTCCTTGCCCCAGTTCTGCCCACAAGGCTGGATTCGGCAAGATTAATGACATGCAGTGACCTGAAGCCTTTTCCTTTCCCTCCATCCCTGGAAATGCCACCTGCTAGGGATGGCACCCTGCCACCCCGGCCTGGTTGGTGGACAGATCCAATCCTGAGATCTTTATGTTCTGAGATCTCACCCTTCTCCTTCCACCTCAGAACAACTGGATTCTGGCCTCTTCTAAAAGATGCCCCTTTCCCAAGCATCTTTGCCATTTCATTCATGGTCTCTGCCTTCTGGAAAAATGGAATCCGTTCAGCTCCTTCTCTTTCATATCTTCATTCCATTTCTCAGAAAGTTTTTCCTGTTTCCTAAGTTCGACCCCTCCATGCTATAATGTCAATAATTTTATTCTATCCTGCAAAGAGATAAGGTTTTCTCAGCCCCCTCCCAGAGATATCCCCTCCTCCATTTCCTGGAATTCAAGCTGGGGCCCCCACAGCTGTCTGTGGTTGCTTTCCTCCTCTTCTTATTTATTTATTTATCTCCTTTGTTTTTCCTCACCCAAGAACATGCTTGTTGATTTTAGAGAGGGGAGAAGGGAGGGAGAGAAACACTGATGTGAAGCAGAAACATTGATCAGTGGCCACTCGTATGCCCCAGGACCACACCTGCAACGCAGGTGTGTCCCCTGACCAGAAATGGAACCCATGACCTTTCAGCCTACAAGAAGATGCTCCAACCAGAGAGCTACCCCGACCAGGGCTTCTTCTTTAAAAAAAAAGGTTTTAAAAATTGATTTTAAAGAGAGAGGGGAAGGCAGAAAGGGAGAAATATCGATTTGTAGTTCTACTTATTCATTTAATGGTTGATTCTTGTATGCGCCCTGACCAGAAACTGAACCTGCAGCCTTGGCATATTGGGCTGACACTCTGACCACATGGCTACCCAACCAGGGCTTCCCTCCTCTTCTGGTGTTGACCCTCCAGCTCCCCTTCCGCCTTCCCCTGTCCTCTTGAGCTCAGGAAATTGTACAAGGGAGCAGCCAGGGAGGGCTGGGTCTCACGCGCTGGCTTTGTTTAGCTCCCAAATGTCATCTCATCACATCACATCGCATCACATCACATCACGTCATTGCTTCTGCTAAGCAGAGAGACAGAAGGTGCTGAAATACCATAGGTTGGGGATCAAAGGCCTGAAATGGGGCAGGGGAGGAAAGCAAGAAGGGCTCTCAGAAGCCATCTGAAGCCCTGGCCAACTAGCTCAGTTGCTCAGAGCATTGTCCTGCTGCATCACGTTTGCGGGTCTGATCCCTGGTCAGGGCGCATACAAGAATCAGCCAATGAATGCATAAACAAGTGGGACAACAAGTCGATGTTTCTTCCTCCCTTCCTCTCTCTCTGAAATCAATTTTTTTTAAAAAAAAGTCATTTTACTTCCTGCTCCTGGATTAGATGGTTTCTCCACCAGCAGAGACCCTCTATGTCTCTGCCCACCTCTGAGTGTGTAACCTCCACCAGCTGATTGCAGGTGGTGAGGTGGGAGCAAACAACATTTTAATAGAGAGAGACATCCATTATTCAAAACTCTGAGACCATATGTATATTTTTTATTTTATTTTTATTTTCTTTTATAGTGGATTTGAAACCCATCAGATTCACTAGTTCTGCCACCTTCAAAAGCCACATGGCTTGGGAACTTGCTTAATGTTTTTGACACTGATGTCCTGTAAAAAGGGATGAGTCCTCACCAGCGCAGCTCAGCCGGCTGGGTGTCGTCCTGTAAGCGAAAGGTGGATGGTTCAATTCCCATTCAGGGCACGTGTCTTAGTTATGGGTAGTGTCCCAGTCAGGGTGTGTTTGAGAGTAATGATCGATGTTGCTCATTCGCATCAATGTTTCTCACCCTCTAGTTCTCCTTCCCTTCCTCTCTCTCTACAGATAAGTATTTTGTTTTAAATGGCAATGATAATACCAAGGTTATAAGGATGCTGACAGACTTAAATGCCAATGTATGTTATACTAAGATTGTTCTTGCACCATATTAGGTACTTAATAAATGGTACTATTATTGTTTTTTATGTCCTTTTTTAAAAATATATTTTATTGATTATGCTATTTTTTAATGAATATTTATTTATTTATTTATTTATTTATTTATTTATCTATTTTTAGAGAAGGAAGGGAGAGAGAAAGAGAGAGAGAGAGAGAGAAACATCAATATGTGGTTGCTGGGGGTCATGGCCTGCAACCTAGGCATGTGCCCTGACTGGGAATCAAACCTGCGATGCCTGGTTCCCAGCCCGAGCTCAATCCACTGAGCTATGCCAGCCAGGGCTGATTATGCTATTATAGTTGTCCCATTTCCCCCCTTCACTACCCTCCACCCTGTACACCCTCTCCCACCCACTTCTCCCCTTTATTTCATGTCCATGTGTCATATATATAAGTTCTTTGGCTTCTACATTTCCCATACTATTCTTACCCTCCCCCTGTCTATTTTCTACCAACAATCTATGCTACTTATTTTCTGTACCTTTTTCCCCTCTCTCCTCCTCCCACTTCCCTGTTGCTAACCCTCCATGTGATCTCCATTTCTGTGGTTCTGTTCCTGTTCTAGTTGTTTGCTTAGTTTCTTTTGGTTTTGCTTTAGGTGTGGTTGTTAATAATTGTGAGTTTGCTGTCCTTTCACTATACATGTTTTTTTCATCTTCTTTTCTTAGATAAGTCCCTTTAACATTTCATAAAATAAGGGCTTGGTGATGATGAACTCCTTTAACTTGACCTTATCTGAGAAGCACTTTATCTGTCCTTCCATTCTGAATGAAAGCTTTGCTGGATAGAGTAATCTGGGATATAGGTCCTTGTCTTTCATGACTTGGAATACTTCTTTCCAGCCCCTTCTTGCCTGCAAGGTCTCTTTTGAGAAATCAGCTGACAGTCTGATGGGAACTCCTTTGTAGGTGACTGTCCCCTTATCTCTTGCTGCTTCTAGAATTCTCTCCTTCATTTTTACCTTGGTTAATGTAATGATGATGTGCCTTGGTGTGTTTCTTCTTGGGTCCAACTTCTTTGGGACTCTCTGAGCTTCCTGGACTTCCTGGAAGTCTATTTCCTTTGCCAGAATGGAGAAGTTCTCCTTTATTATTTGTTCAAATACATTTTCAATCTGTTGCTCTGCCTCTTCCCCTCTGGTACCCCTATAATTCGGATGTTGGAATGTTTAAAGATGTCCTGGAGGTTCCTAAGCTTCTCCTCGTTTTTTTGAATTCTTATTTCTCTATTCTTTCCTGGTTGGTTGTTTCTTTCTTCCTTCTGGTCCACTCTATTGTTTTGAGTCCCAGTTTCCTTCCCATCACTATTGGTTCCCTATGCATTTTCCTTCATTTCTTTTATGGTAACCTGCATTCGTTCATCTAATTTGCGACCAAAATCAACCAATTCTGTGAGCTTCCTGATCACCAGTGTTTTGAACTGTGCATCTGATAGGTTAGCTATCTCTTGGTTGTTCAAAAGGATGAGTTCTGGGGCACTGATTTGTTCTTCTGTTTGAGCCATCTCTCTCTCTCTTTTTTTGGCCTAGTTGCTCCTGCTATGGTGAGGGGCAGAGCCTTAGGTGTTCACCAGGGCTGGGCACCCCAGTTACTAGATTGTGAGGTTGTATGTGGGGGCGGGGTCGAGAGGGAACAATGGCAGTAGCTCTGTTCTCCATAGGACCTCAGTCCCTTCCCTGGGATTCTGGGTTGTGCGCTCTGCCCTGGTCCACAATCGCCGCCTCACTGGGTCTGCCAGCTGCCACTTGCAAACTCAGGGTCCATCCACTGCGATCTTGCGTGCCCCAGATGCCTTACGCGCTCCCAGTTGCCTTAGGCGCCCAACTCTCCCTGCTGTCCACGCTGCTACCCGCGCCCAGCTGCTTGTCTCCGCCCCTCCTACCAGTCTGGATGAATGGGTCTATTTCAACTTCTTGGCTGTCCGACTTCCATTCAGATAAATTTTCTATCAGTTCTGGGCATTATTCTGCCTCTAAATTGTTGTTGTTCCACTCTTGGTTGTGCGTGGAGGTATGGTGCGTCCACCTATGCCTCCATCTTGGCCGGAAGTTGTCCCTATTATTGTTTTTTGTTTTGTTTTGTTTTGTTTTGCTTTGTTTTATCAGGGCCATAGAGAAACAGAGAGCTGGAGAAAGGAAGGACCAAACCAGAAGTGGAATGCGTATTATATGATGGTTTCCCCACCATCCTCTCTTATAAAAGAGAAAGAATAAATAACCCATAGGCCCACAAGTCACAACTGTGTTGGGAACTAATTATCATAAATAACTCCTGATAGAAATAGAATGCACACAACCAAAGCAAGAAGGAGCAATAAGAAACAGCTTTTCTGTCCTGGCTGGTGTGGCTCAGTGGATTGAGCACTGGTCTGCGAACCAAAGGGTTGCTGGTTCTATTCCCAGTTGGAGCACATGCCTGTGTTGTGGGCCAGGCCATGTCCCTGGTTGGGGGCGTGTGAGAAGCAACCACACATTGATGTTTTCCTCCCTCTCTTTCTCTCTCCCTTTCCCTCTAAAATAAATAAATGAAATCTTTTTAAAAACGAACAAGAAGAAGAAACAGCTTTTCTGTCCTTTGGGCCCCTGACAAACCCTGATGACGCTGTCCACTTCACACAGAAGGGGGTACAGAGTGGCCCTAGCGCTTCAAAGCAGGGTGGACAGACTGCAGCCCACGGGCCACACTGTCCTGCTATCTTTTTGAAATGGTTGGAAAAAATCAAAAGAAGAATACTACTTTGTGACACATGAAAATGATATGGAATTCAAATGTCAGCGTTCATAAAGTCTTTCTGGAACACAGCGATGCTCATTCACTCACCCTAATCTGGGGCTGTCTTTGCACCACTACAGCAAAACCGCTAGTTGTAGCAGAGACCATGGGACCCACCAAGCCTAAAATATTTATTACCCCGGTCTTTACAGAAGAAGTTTGCAGACTCCTGATTTAGAGCAACTGGCTCTCTAACTCTCAGGGGGCAGGAAGAAGAGATCAAAGACAGACATCAAGGCTGGGCTGCACCCCAACCAGTCATTCTGCCACTAGCTGGGGGAGGAGGGGCATTGAAGACCCCAATGTACCTGTTTCCTAAATAGCCTCCGCAGCCTATGGGGAAGAAAGTTAACCCATGAGTGCCCACATCACCTTGTGGGATCCTCACCATTTCCTGAAACACACCATTATCCCTACTTTTCATTTGAAGCAACAGGCAGCACAGAAAGGTAAAGTCACCTGCTGAGGCCCCAAGGCTGCAGGAGGGGAGCTGAGTGTTCAAAGCAAATTTGTCACACTATGGGGCCTGAATTCTTTTCTTTCTTTTCTTTTTTAGGATTTTTAAAAATTTCTTTTTAGAGAGAAGGGAACAGAGGGAGAAAAACATCGATTGTGGTTGCCTCTCATGTGGCCCCCACTGGGGACCTGGCCGGCAACCCATGCATGTGCCCTGATTGGGAATCGAACCAGTGACCCTTTAGTTCACAGCCTGAGCTCAATCCACTGAGTCACACCAGCCAGGCCTGGGTTTTTTTTCTGAAACCAGAAGAGAAGCCAGCAAAGAGTACAAGTAGCTAGTTTTGAAAGAAACTTGGCAATATTGTTATTCGTCAACCCCCATTCCCACCCCACCCCTACCCCAGCCAAAGAAAAGAAGAAACTTCTGAAGAAATTAGATGGGGCCTCCAAAGAAGTTAAAGTTGTTCTCTCTACTCCCTCTGCTCCCTTACAAATCTGAATGCGGCCGTGGGCGCAGGTGGGCTTCTCTGCCCATGTTCACTGCCAGCAAACACGGGACAGTAGCTGCTGCTGGCAACCACACAGCCCTTCCATAGCGTGGGGGGGTGCCTCCTGGGTCTAGCTCTGGGGCCCTGAATCTCCTGAAGGAGGGCAAAAAGGTGGAAGACCCAAAAAAGCAGATAATACAGAATAGAGGGAAGAGGCCTGCTGGCTCTCCCCCTGATCTCCTAGGCCTGGGGAGGACAGGGTCATAGAAAACCCTTTGATGGTTCAAAATTTAACCTACCTGCTTTTTCTTCCGTAGCAAGTAAACCATTAATCCAAGAGCCTCTGCAAAGGGGGCCAAATCAGGGCTTCTCTTATCCTCAGGTAAAGGAGGCCCCGGGAACCACAGCTCCTTCCTGCCCTGGACCCTGGACATCCCATTCTATGGCACGTCATAGCACACAAGCCTCTCGTATCTCCCTCCTCACCCAATGATTTGGCCACATCATTGCTCTATTGCTCAGTGTGAGACACATGAGAGTTTGACATGTGTTGAACACGGGTGTCCTGGAACTCACTTTTCTTCTCTGACTCTCCTGTCAACTGCTAAAAAAAATAAAAGGAAAGGCAAAGTGTATATATAGAGAAAGGAGTCATTCATTCAGGTGTCAGACACGGAGAAGAGCACCCAGAAGGGTCCATGCGCAAACACCACAGGGGGACATGTGTGCTGTCTCTTAGTGGGACTGGGCTAAGTCCAGGCAAAAGCCGTCTGCCACATCCGCTTCCCGGCTGACTTCTGAGAGGCGCCCACCTGCTTCCGGGGCCCATGGGGCAGGGTTATCGATTTTATTGTTATGACTCAATCCCGAAGTTCGAAGCTGGAGAGCCAGGCGTCCCCAGCCCTGACCTAAGCACATCTTCTTCTCAGCCAGCAGCCAGGCATCTCAAACAACCACCCCAAGTAGCCCCACATCTTTGGTAAACGTTAGGCTCACAAATTACCCAAGAATTTTGCTGTTTTGGGTTTCCAAGTGTGACCACTTTTTTTAAAATTGATTTGCAAACCAAACTTAGGTTTGCAAAATCACCTTCTTTCTTTCTGCTGGACCTTCATGCTTATTGGGACCCAGGGTAGCCCATGACGTGTGGGGCCTACAGAAGAGAGGGACCAATCAGTTCTCTTTTACATCCTCCTGCCAGTTTCCTGGCATGTGTCATGGGGACTGTGCCAGAAAGGTGGGGCAAGAAAGGGTCTGAGGTTCAGAGGGACACACCTGAGAAGACTTTGGCCACTGTGTCTCGGGGAATTAACCCATCAGATCCCAGGGGACAACTAAATGCAGTGGGCAGAGCAAGGAATCTTTAATCTGATGGATGGGATCATTAGGATCAGGAAGTTTCTGGCTCCAGGTATGAGTTGGTGGCCTTTTAAATCTCACAACTAACCTGCAGAATAAAGGGACAATGTTAGGTACTGGAGGAAGAAGACCCTGAATGAATCAGGATATCGAGGTTTAAAAATCCCAGAGCCATCCTTCCTGTCCATACCTCCTTAGTAAGAAACGAGACCAGAAGACAACATAATAAACTTCCGTGTCAGAGGAACTTGAGTCCGAACACCAGTCCTGCAACTTACCTCAGTTGACAAGGTTAGCTATTTAACTCCTCTAAACCTCATCTTTAGTATAATGATTATGGTATGTCAAACGCATAGGGTTGGGGAGATTAAGAATGTATATGAAGGGTGTAGCATCACTTGTCACACAAATAGTTAAGTATTGTTGGCCATAACTGTGATTCCCAATTTGCCCATGCATGTGCACACACACACACACACACACACACACACACTGCCCCCTAATTAAAAATGGAAGCTGAATGCAGGGGGCTGGTAGAGAAGCTACAAACTGCTCTGCTCCTTCCTGGGGGGTAGGGGGTACTTGAAGATCTCTGCTCCTGGGGGAATGCCCATTTATAGGGATTTATAGGGTAAGGACCCAAGAAAAGGGAAGGGGGAAACTCACCAGACCTGGGAGATGTCCCAAAGATGGGGGACTTGTCCCTGCCCTCAGTTGGTGACTTCGATATAGGAAAAAGTCCTGCTTCAGGTAGAGCCTCTAAGAATCCAGTCCAGCACCTTGATGGGGGTGCCTCTCTCTTGGTCCTTTTAAGGGAAGGGCTCATGATCCAGAAGTTTGCATAGGAGACAGGGGGGACTCATTCCAGTCCAGACCAGCTGCCACTTAAACCCCTCCAGCACCTCCCTCCCCGCTCCACTTCAAACACCTTCTACAGGGCGTGCTGTGCGCTGGCCTTTAACCCCTTGGGTGCCATCGCTGCTCTGGAGGCTTCCTGGGCTCCCCGTGCCCAGCATTCCCTGGACAAAGGGCGTGTTGGATTTCAGGCTCATGTGGAAACAGGTAGAGGGAGCCAAGCTGGGGTCACACTGAGGGGACAGTATGTGGGAACCTGATACCCTAGGGAACCTTCCCCTCCCTCCAGTGAGAACAGGGTGAAGCTGAGTGGGGAAACGGGACATCTCAGAGAAAGACCCCCCGCTGGAAACTTAATCGCAAGGTCCTGTTGGGGTCAGGGAGGCCCTTTGCCTTCTTTCAAATTTGGCTCCAAAACTGCTTGTCGGTCCCTTTAAGAGGCAGGTTATAGCAGCGGGTAGAGGAAGAAAGATTGTATTTTCTGTGATGAAATGCATACAGGGAGGAGCTTGAACAGGGGCAGCTACATCTGAGGAGGCCCCCCCCTTCTGCCCACAAGTCCACAGTGACCAGGCAGCTCAGCATACACACAGCTCCCACTCCCTTCTCCCTTCCACCCTGTGGTGGATACCAGGCACCGGCTATCTGACCCATTCTCCACCCATTCCCTGATAACAGCCTGTGGGGACTGACTCACTCTGGCTTCTTCCCTGGGGCAGAGGACAGCTGGGCAGACATTGCACTTCCTGAGGTAAGGAGGAGTCCTCCTCCTGACAGCCCTCCTGGAGCGGGAAAGCCTTGGGTGGCTCTGCCAGCTCCCTAGTTATGGGGCCTTGGAGAAGTGACCTGTTCGCCTGGTGTCCTCGTCTGTCAAAAGGGGGTGTTAAGTGAGATAGCTGCACATAGTGACACGCACATGCCAAGCCTGTACCAGTTATTCAGTAAATAAGCTAGCTACCACTTGCTGTGTGACCTTGGATGAGCCAATTCACTCTGTCTGTGCCTTCCTGACCCGTTAAGTAAGAGGGTTCGCTCTAAAACTCTTACTCTGGATGAAAGGAGGGCAGTTGCTGCCAGATGTGGAAACTGTGCACCTTCTCTGCCTAGCTGGGCCCCAAGTCACATGATGGGTGACAGAGGGAGCTTCTCACTTCCCAAGAACAGGGAAAACACCTGCCTCATTTGACTGGTGTGGGGGTTCCTCAGAAATCCTCTCAGTAAACCACCTCTTGACTGCTCAGACACAGCGTCTGGGAGGAGCTGATTTACCTGAGGCCACTGAGTGGTGGATGGGGTTGGGGACACCCAGCTTGGCTGCTGTCTGTGGTCGGTGCTGCTTCCACCACCCTGAGCTGCTGCATTACTCCAGTTCCTTGGAAATTCTTACACCTGTTTTCCACTGACTCTTCAGGTAGGGTCCCAAGGCCAGTATGTGAAGGAGGTGAAAACCTGAGCACCGGTTCCTCCTGGGACCAGGGCTGGGTTTGTGGGTGAGCAGGTGCCAGCTGAAAGTGTGGACGACGTGGGAGAAATGGACGGCTGGTTGTGCAGGTGGGATTTGGAATGTGTTGGCAGCTGGGTTACTGTCTGTATTGCCTTTTAGGGAGGAGCCCCTCCGTTTGGGTATCCAACCTCCCGGAAGGACATAAGGCCGGGGCTTCCTTTCCTTCTCCCTGGCAGATCTGCAGGCAATCTGGAGACAGAGTTCCCTCCTTCCTAGGGCGGTTTCTGTGAGAGCAAGGGACTGCTGTCTGCCACTCCTCCTCCTGTCCCATTACCTCAAGAAGTTACAAGAATTCAATCATAAAGCCAACTCTTCCAGCTAAGTCTGTCCACAGATTTTAGAGGCTCTTAGCATTCCCCAAGCCCACCGCTTCGGGGAAGCTCAAATTCCATCCCGACCACTGGAAGCGGACCTCTTCAGAGAGGAAGTATCTGGTTCTGGCTGCTTTGCAAGGTGCCTGCGACACTAGCTGCCTTCACAATGCTTCTCTTGTTACCTGCCTGGCCTGCCCCCACCCCCTCTCCAGTCTCCTCCATTCTAACAAGGGCCCAGACACAAAATGCTGAGTTCTGCAAGGGGAGGGAAGGACTGCCCCTGTTTTTGGGAAAGGAGGACCTCTGGGTTGGACTGAGGAAGAAAACTCCATCACCTTCCGGTTATGAAGCTTATCTTGTCCTCTAAAAGCAGAACACCTCCTCCTACAGGTGAGCTCACTGTTTCAGCGCAGGCCACACGGAAGGGAAAGTGTGCTCCCTCCTCCCAAGATTAATACTTCATAGCCCTGGAGAGCAAGAGGACACGTATCAAACAGCTCCCTTTTCCTTCCCTGCACTTCTCAACCCTAAACTGCTGACCCACTGCTTTCTCCCCCTCTCCCGAGCAAGTTCCAGGTCCCCACTAGAAACACAAGAGCGAATGCGTCCTCCTTGCACTCTCACCTGGCCAGTCCGGGGGTGTCCCAGCCACAGCCCGTGAAGGAGGGATGTGAGTTGGTGGAGAGAGACTCCATTTGGAGCCTCCCGTTGTCTCCATGTCCTTTTCATCCTTCCTGGGGCCCAGAGGCTCACTGCTAGGCGAAGGAAAGGTTAAACCAGTTGGGCAGCAACCTCCCTTTCGCATCCCCAACAGAATCTAAACTGGGAAACTTGGTAGCAGGAACAAAGCGGGTGTTTGTTGGGCTTCTCCCCTGCCTGGGAGGCTGTTCTCGGACCACGGCATTCCTGGGTTGGACGGAGTCAGCTCAGAGTGCCTTCTCCCCACTGCTGCCACAGCAGAAACCACTGCCTTCCCATAGGCCACGCTTAGGGGACGACTCGGGGCATCCAGGTGCTTCTGCCTGGCCAGAGCTCAAAGTGGAGGCATTAAAAATAAAATCAGCCCTGGCAGATGTGGCTCAGTGGATTGAGCACTAGCCTGCAAACTGAAAGGTTGCTGGCTTGATTCTTGGTCAGGGCACATGCCTGGTTGTGGCCAAGTCCCCAGTTGGGGGGTTGCAAGTTCGATATTTTTCTCCCTCCCTTGCCCTTTCTTTAAAAATAAATGAAATATATATCTATTTTATCTCTGATAGTCTCCCATTTTATTTTTAGATTTTATTTATTTATTATTAGAGAGGGGAGAGAGAGAGAAACATCAATGTGTGGTTGCTGGGGACCATGGCCTGCAACCCAGGCATGTGCCCTGCGACGGTTTGGTTCACAGCCCGTACTCAATCCACTGAGCTAAGCCAGCCAGGGCTAAATATTTTTTTAAAAAATAAATAAATTCGGGGTTAGAGCATAGTCCCTATATGCCAAGGTTGGATCCGTGGTCAGGGCACATACAAAAAGCAACCAATAAATGTATAAATAAGTACAACAAAGAATTGTCGTTTCTCTCTCTCTCAAACCAATTAGAAATAAACTCAAGCTGCCCTGGCTGGCATAGCTCAGTGGATTGAGCACAGGCTGCGAACCAAAGTGTCGCAGGTTCAATTCCCAGTCAGGGTACATGCCTGGGTTGCAGGCCATGACCCCCAGCAACCGCACATTGATGTTTCTCTCTCTCTTTCTCCCTCCCTTCCCTCTCTAAAAAATAAATCTTAAAAGAAAAAGAAATAAACTCAAGCTTAACAGAGGAAGTAGAATCAGGTGTAAGAGATAGCTTCTCAAGAAGTCAGTAAATAAATCAGACCAGAATCTCCCCTGCGAGAGAACAACTTCCCCACTCAGCTTCGAGCTGTGAAGAGCTAACAGTCAAGAAAGGTTCTGGACGTTTAGGGCAGTATGTAGTGAGAACACAGAGGGAGATAAGAAGTGAAAGCAAAGGTGCCCAAGAGAGGACAGATATCACCTTGGGAACAGGACCCACAACCCTCACCACCCAGGAGTCTCAGCACTTGAGCCCAAAGACCTGCGTTTACCCAGCTGATGAGAAAAGGGACAAAGGAGTCAGTGTGGCATTTGTTTTTATTAGAAAACCCATTTAGTAAGCGCTTCCCTAAGCCAGAGACTAGGTAACCTCCAGGAGTCCCACAGCCTTCATTTTATCTTCTATCCTCTTCGGGGAGGGTAGAGCAGGAGATGGGGGTGGTGTCATGCAGTCTCTGAACGCACCCTCCCGCACCCGAGGGCTCACACCGCCAGCAGCACACCGCAGGGCGCCTCAGTGGCACACCAGAGGGCCCTCTAGGCTCAAGGCATTCTTGTTTGTATGGCTTCGAGAGGAAACCAAGGAGGCTCTCCTTGGCTCCTAGGCCTAGTCCGTCACTCTGGTTGAGAGCAGGGCAGGATCCAGAAGGTGGCCCAGGGCTCAGGGAGGCAACTGCATCTGAGATACCCTCTGGAGTCCGGAAAGCACCTGGATTTCTTGGGAAGGGAGAGCTGTGAAAACCCCACTCAGTTCTTCTTGGTTTTGGGAGTGTCATATTTCCTCTTGCTGGAGTACCACAGCAGCAGGGGGACCCCGATGGAGGGGAGGGTCATGACCCCAAAGGCTGCCCAGTCCAGCTGCAGAAGACAACAAAGGCCTTGCTTAGAAACTTGGAGTAGGGCACAGGAGAGGACCAGGAGGGCGGGTTCCAATGAGAAAGGCAGCAGCCCACCTCAGTATCTGGCAAAACCTTGACAGGAAGGCTCCTCTCTGACCATGCCTGATAGAGAACGTCTCTCTGAAGACAAACCTATCTTTCAAACTGAGACCAAAGCCTCACCTGACCCAACCCAGACTGGAAGAGATGCTTTGCTCTCCCAGACAATATCTAAGGGAGAGGGCCAGGTCTCACCCTGACAGGCACGCCTCCTGTGATCTAACCCCAATTTCACCTCCAGCTCCTCTTCCTCCTCCCCCTGCCTCAGTCTACCCTCCAGGCTCATTAGAGAACTCACCATCCCTGGACAGCACCACGTTTTTCTCACTCTGAGCTGCTCCCTCTTCCTACAATGTCCATCCTTCCTAGTCTCCTGATTTGTTACACATCACCTCCTCCGGAAAGCCCTCCCCAACTCTGGGAGACCAGGTTCATGTTCCTGCTGCACATTCCCCCAGCACCTTGTGGGCTGCACTCTGTC